ATTCCCTGGCTGTCATTTCTTCCATGTGGAAACAGACAGTCCGAATGAGACATTCCATGGACGAATGTGAGAGTGATTCCCAGAGAATTAGCCCAAGCTGAATGTCATAGGAGGTGAATTATGTGTGTGTGTGTGTGTGTGTGTCTGAGCTTGTGTGTGCGTGGTGTCTGTGTGCATGTTCATGTGTGTGTGTGTGTGTGTGTGTGTCTGAGCTTGTGTGTGCGTGGTGTCTGTGTGCATGTTCATGTGTGTGTGTGTTTGTGTGTATGTAACTTTGGAGGAGGTGAAATTAAAGATTGCGCTGGAAAGCTGCCCAGATTGTTCCATCCCATTAGCCTCTCTGTTAGTGTTTAAGCATGCATGGGATTTGCGTGGCACGCTAATTTGGCTAACTAGCATTACCTCAGATAAACACGGTGAGAATGCAAAGGTCAGACTTCAGAGCATTCCATCAGACTGAGTTCACACACGTGTCCCTGTTTACGCCACTAACCCACCAACCGATGTATTCCTCTTCATCATCATAGAGAAAAAACACTAAAACCGCTTCCTGTCTGATGTCTAATGGCTGAGAGGCTGACCCAGGACTAACCGCTGAAGTAAACACTGGAACATCTCCATTGTTTTATTTTTTCTTATAAAAAAGATTGTCCAGATGATCAGAACATGAACATCTTTATTGGGATATACAATGGTGGTCTATGCAGGTCTAAATTAGTCTCTGGATAAAAGGCTTAAGGGCTTAAACCAGCAGACTCTGTGACCCTGTAGACCAGATACGTTTCTTTATGAAGCATTTCACCCCTGGTCTAGTTATCAGATCAGGAGAGTGTAGTGTCGAGTCAATGCTGGTAATTATTGCTGTGAAACAAAGGAGTCCGCTCATACTGAACCTTGATCATAAGTTTTATTCATATCACAAGATTTCAGCATGAGTTTACAGGTGTCAAGATCACCCGGAGAACGGCGTCCCAGATTGCAATGGCCGCTCTAACCTCTTCGTCGTTTTTACCCAGTATATATAATCTTCCCAAGATATGGGTGGCTCCCTCTACTGTCCAATCCCCTGTCCACAACACACACTTCCTGTCGGTTGTATGTGGCGTCACACTAAAAACGGCTCTCTTTCTGCCAAATAAACATCCTTTCAGGTTCCACTTAAAAACATTAACAAAGTCATAATCTTCATATACGACAAGAGCCATAGCTTTGGTGTGCATTCCATTACACCATGTACCGTACCGGTATGTAGCGGTTGGGCCAAAGTAGCAGTACCCTAGCCTGGTCCCAGATCTGTTTCTGCTGTCTTGCCAACTACTTGTCCCTCATTGTCACACCAAACATGACGATTCCATAAGGAGTTGGAAATAGAGCAGAACTAGACTGACAGTATTTGACTAGGCTATACCGGGGTATTTGACTAGGCTTGGGCGGTATACCGTATACCGGGGTATTTGACTAGGCTTGGGCGGTATACCATATACCGGGGTATTTGACTAGGCTTGGGCGGTATACCGTATACCGGGGTATTCGAGTAGGCTTGGGCGGTATACCTTATACCGGGGTATTTGACTAGGCTTGGGCGGTATACCGTATACCGGGGTATTTGACTAGGCTTGGGCGGTATACCGTATACCGGGGTATTTGAGTAGGCTTGGGCGGTATACCAGGGTATTTGACTAGGCTTGGGCGGTATACCGTATACCGGGGTATTTGACTAGGCTTGGGCGGTATACCGTATACCGGGGTATTTGACTAGGCTTGGGCGGTATACCGGTATACCAGCTCTTTCCTTATCGTCAGAGCAGAGCGCCCCTGGCCTGTAATTTCTGTTGTGAAACTAATTTGTAGGTTTCTGACCCCTTGGCACTTCTGGGCCTCTTTGTTTCAATCAACCCTCCCAGTGGTGGTGCTAGTGCAGAGGCCTGGCCAGACTTCTCAGTAGCTATGTATCCATTAACTTGTCCAGTGATTTTTTGTCAACATTTAGAAAGTTTGCATAGAAAGTAGATTCAACAATTGCCTGCCATGGTGCGTTTCCATTTAACTGTCTTGCGTCGATAAAAAGAGCTGGACCTACTGTAATTACGTCACACCTAAAAATATAAATACATCCGAAAATGAAGTGGTTGAAGTGATTCCATTATCCATTTATGCAAATTAGTATTAATAACCTACATTTGCGACAGCCTTTACGCCCTCCTACCTCTCTGTTTCATGTCTCAGGTAGCCTGCAAAAGCCAGCATGGATAGAATGCAAGAATTTGCCATATTCTAATCATTCTCATGTGCCAACGTATCGCCACGGTCCGTGCCATGGTGAAACTTGCACTCCTGTAGATCTGAAATAATTGGATGATGAAACTTGCATCCAGCCATCCAGAAAAGCAAGGCCAAGCCATTCAGGCGTTCTTGGAAGTCAGGACAATCCTGCAAACATTATTATTTTCATAGTTGAACATTTTGATTTAGCAAGCATTAAAAGACTGAAACACAAGTAAGCTGAGAAGAAGCGGTTTGACTACCGACCAACCAACGCAGTTGGAGAAAAAAGGTGGTTGATGATGTCACTCACTTGCTGTTTGGGGCTTTTATAACCGTTTTTATAACAATTTTTATAACCGGCGAAGCTGAAGGATGTCCTCACGCCGAACCCCGACCGGCGATGACACAAGAGCATACCTGAGCCGTAAGGTCTTCCCCAAGAGCTGCAGAACAGCTGACAGCCTGGGGTAGGAAGGGAGGGATGGAGGGAGGGTAGAGGTTGAGGGAGGGGAATGGGAACATTGTTAATGAGAACATGTTGGCCTTTTGTAACGGAGCCATGGCCAATTAGTGTCAGTGGGGGTTGCCGTTAGAAGGGCCTTTATTGGATGGTGTTAGGAGTTCCACAGCTAGGATCAGTCCATCCATTCTGTGTGTCGTGTTCAGGCTGGAAATCAGTTTGAAAGAGTTGCAACATGTGGAACATTCATTTAGAGGTGAAATGTTAGTAGGTTTCCATAAGCATTTTTAATGAGAATGACTTGGCCTCAGATCGGCTGAGTCAGAGTATCATTTTTGACTTTTTCCTAAGTCAGACTGACTCCCTCCCTCGCTTTTGCTAGATTTTTATCTGAAAATGAACTGAATATTGTACCAAGTAAACCATGTGAAATTTAATGGGAAAATGATTGTGGTTGACTATTAAACCTCCTCTGCCATGCAAGCCTTTGATCTGTCGTCCAGTTATGTTGACCTCACAATAACAGATTTTCATGTTCCAAGTTGTTGTAAGTTCCACTTCTTTGTCTGTTTCATCGACCCTGCAATCGTAGTTGTGATAGGCACATGAGAAAGGCCATGTGAGCCATGATAGGCTGAAAGAGGGCATTGAAGTTTCTCCAGAGCTGGGGTCTCCTTATCAATCCCAAAGCAACTCCTGGGTGCCTGCATGGCGCCTGCCCAGACACCACCCTCCCTGATACTGTGCATGTGTGTGAATGGGCATATATCTAGAGCCAAAAAGGGCCTCATTTCAGCATAGTCCATTTGAAGATGCAAAATGGAGATCTCTTCCCTCTCATCACAAACACACGCACACATGCACACACACACACACACACACACACACACACACACACACACACACACACACACACACACACACACACACACACACACACACACACACACACACACACACACACACACACACAAACACAAACACACACACACACACACACACACACACACACAGACACAGTGTGGAGGGATGGATCTGGTTTCCTGAGTGTTTACAGGAAGCTCCCCGTCACACCAGTTCAAACTGTGACATTTGAACCTGGACGTCTGCACAAATATTTGGCCACAGTCAGGAATTCAGACCAAGAAACTATGTCAATTATTCATTCTAATAGGGCTATTAGTCTACAACACTATACATCATGTTCTGGCTGTCTGTAATGTTTAATTTATCTTGTTCCTTTGCAGAAATAGGACCGGTAACCATCACAACGGATCCAAAGAAGTTTCAGTTTGAACTGAGGGAGCTGTACGTCCAGGTGGGTTCTAGAGTTAACGACCCTCCTCAGTTATACAGAGCTGTTGTATTTTTGTTTCTTTGAAAGTTGACCATACTGGATACATAACAACATTCTCGTGAAACCTGATTTTCCATAGCCATCGCAAACACATATCTAAACAAAAATAACACATATCTAAACAAACACATATCTAAACAAAAATAACACATATCTAAACAAACACATATCTAAACAAAAATAACACATATCTAAACAAACACATATCTAAACAAAAATAACACATATCTAAACAAACACATATCTAAACAAAAATAACACATATCTAAACAAACACATATCTAAACAAAAATAACACATATCTAAACAAACACATATCCAAACAAAAATAATCAACTGAGTCAGAGAGCCAAACAGAGCGATGCGAAGTCCAAATTCTCCTGCAATCGCTCAGAGGAAGGGAGGAGAGGGAGGAAGTTCTCTTGTGATTGGTGGTTATCACCTCTCTGTATGGTAATCCATTATTTGAACAATGCTGCTGAAGTGCTTCACTGAAACCCAGATTTGTCTCTCAGCAGTATCAGTATCTGAGCAGACCACTGACAGAAGAGTGATTTGTGTCTGGGAGCAAAGGAGCAATGCGGTGAAACCAGTAGCTAGCGTTCAGATACTGCAGCTAGCTGCCCTGCGAGGGGACATCCTTGGCATGTGCTTGTGCATCCTTGGCGCATGCTAGCTTGTGTTTGGCGTGTGAGTGGGGGTGTTCTGTGTAACACAGTACCCCCATAGAGATCCCTGAGCTTCCTTTTACAGGACTATGCCAGGCTATCCTCTCCTGACCCCGGTTGTCACCTGTCATCTCTCTGCTGCTGTAGGCTGGGACCAGGTTAAAGAACTGATGAGTTTTAGGACTATCTCATGTAGTTGTATGTAGATGACATCTAATCTAATGCAGTTCAACTCTGATGTAGTTAACCTCTTATATGGGTCAGCTCCATAGCCATACATACATTGTTTATATACATCATTGGGTCAGCCCTTTCGATGTCCAGTAGGCTACCCTCATTCTGGTTACCATAGGTTCCCTCCAAGCCAGTTGTTCTCGCACAAGGTTGTTGAGATCAGCTGGTGGGGTATGTACTACATTTTGTGCTGTCCTATATTTTGGTACTGTAGGGGGGAATGAGAGTGCACGTACAGGGGGTGATAGGGTTATTGTTACGGGATGAGGGGGATTCTTTGCCGGGGGGTGGGGGTGTTAGGGAGCGGAGGAGAGGAGTTCTCCTCACATTCCATCCCTCTGGTCTGGAAACAGGGATCAGTCAGTTCCAGATGTTCCTCCTGGCGTCCAGCGCTCCCCTCATACAGACACGTGCCTCCTAGAATGCTCCAGAGGACAGCTCCCCTGACCCCACAGAGAGAGGGGGGAGGGGGGGAGACAGAAATATGGAGAGAGGGAGGAAGAAAGAAAGCGAGAGAGAGTGAGGAATAGATAGAGAGAGAGAGAGAGAGAGAGGGAGAGAGAGAGAGAGAGAGAGAGAGGGGTGAAGGGAGATGGAGAGAGGGGAGTGAGAGAGTGGGGGTGGGGGTGGGGGGGGGGGTGGAGAGACAGCAACAGAGAAGAGGAGTAAAATGTAAGAGACTTTAAGATAGACAGCAGAACAGAATATATTATTTCAGTTAATGTCAAACATACACTACCGTTCAAAAGTTTGGGGTCGCTTAGAAATTAGTTTGAATAGGAAATATAGCAAAATGAATAGGAAACGTAGTCATTGACAAGGTTAGAAATAATGATTTTTTATTTAAATAATAATTGTGTCCTTCAAACTTTGCTTTCGTCAAAGAATCCTCCATTTGCAGAAATTACAGCCTTCAAGACATTTGGCATTCTAGTTGTCAATTTGTTGAGGTAATCTGAAGAGATTTCACCCCATGCTTCCTGAAGCACCTCCCACAAGTTGGATTGGCTTGATGGGCACTTCTTACGTACCATACGGTCAAGCTGCTCCCACAACAGCTCAATAGGGTTGAGATCTGGTGACTGTGCTGGCCACTCCATTATAGACAGAATACCAGCTGACTGCTTCTTCTCTAAATAGTTCTTGCATAGTTTGGAGCTGTGCTTTGGGTCATTGTCCTGTTGTAGGAGGAAATTGGCTCCAATCAAGCGCCGTCCACAGGGTATGGCATGGAGTTGCAAAATGGAGTGATAGCCTTCCTTCTTCAAGATCCCTTTTAGCCTGTACAAATCTCCTACTTTACCACCACCAACGCACCCCCAGACCATCACATTGCCTCCACCATGCTTGACAGATGGCATCAAGCACTCCTCCAGCATCTTTTAATTTGATATGCGTCTCACAAATGTTCTTCTTTGTGATCCGAACACCTCAAACTTCGATTCGTCTGTCCATAACACTTTTTTCCAATCTTCCTCTGTCCAGTGTCTGTGTTCTTTTGCCCATCTTAATCTTGTCTTTTTATTGGCCAGTCTGAGATATGGCTTTTTCTTTGCAACTCTGCCTAGAAGGTCAGCATCCCGGAGTCGCCTCTTCACTGTTGACGTTGAGACTGGTGTTTTGCGGGTACTATTTAATGAAGCTGCCAGTTGAGGACCTGTGAGGCGTCTGTTTCTCAAACTAGACACTCTAATGGATTTGTCCTGTTGCTCAGTTGTGCACCGGGGCCTCCCACTCCTCTTTCTATTCTGGTTAGAGCCAGTTTGCACTGTTCTGTGAAGGGAGTAGTACACAGCGTTGTACGAGATCTTCAGTTTCTTGGCAATTTCTCGCATGGAATAGCCTTCATTTCTCAGAACAAGAATAGACTGTTATTTGTTTCTGGCCATTTTGAGCCTGTAATCGAACCCACAATTGCTGATGCTCCAGATACTCAACTAGTCTCAAGGCCAGTTTTATTTATTCTTTAATCAGCACAACAGTTTTCAGCTGTGCTAACATAATTGCAAAAGGCTTTTCTAATGATCAATTAGCCTTTTAAAATGATAAACTTGGATTAGCAAACACAACGTGCAATTGGAACACAGGACGGATAATGGGCCTCTGTACGCCTATGTAGATATTCCATTAATAATCAGCCGTTTCCAGCTACAATAGCCATTTACAACATTAACAATGTCTACACTGTATTTCTGATCAATTTGATGTTATTTTAATGGACAAAAAATTTGCTTTTCTTTCAAAAACAAGGACATTTCTAAGTGACCCCAAACTTTTGAACGGTAGTGTATATCATTAAAGATGTCTGTAATTTCACTATGAAAAAAACCCTAAAGCAATACACTGATTGGCCAAGAGTCCTCATAAATGCTATGTAAAGCTTTTATAAAGCTACACAATGGCGTGCGGTGAGGTTGGTGGCTGGGTAAGCACAGGCTATTATCAAAGCCAGATTTACTCACAAATAAACCTTGATGAAGCCCAAGGTCACCATACAACAGATAGCTCCAACACCCAGAGTGACATAGGCTATTAACCAAAATGGACCAACAAAAATGTAAATACCAATGTAGCCAAGATACACAAGCGATAGCCTCTGATGGCAGCATATTTAATCCGACAAAATGACACACTGCTTAACTCAGCTCAGCCAAAGACCGATGTAGCATCCACAGTTACAACTGATATGTGGCACTAAAATACCAATATATCGACACATTTCATCCGAATAATTTGCAACGCAAACTCCATAGTAATGATGGGAGAAAAAATAGATAAGGTTACATATCGAAATATTATTTTTGGACGATATTATATTGATATTTGACTCCAATTATCGATTTGTAAGGTAGCATTAGCAAGCGCTAGTCAGCTGTACCTGTGCCAAAACTCTGGTATTTTTCATCCTATAGCTTGTTCTCCATTTTCTTTTTAAATAGTGAACCAACTTGTTTTCAGCACTTTTATTTCCATGACTGATCAAAACTTGTTTTCTCATGGCTCTCTCTTGTCCCTCTGCAGCAGACATATAGTGAGCAATATGTTTGGAACATCGAATCGCAATAAAACCACAGTATCGAATCGCAATACATATAGAATCGTGAGAATCGCATTACATTTCGTATCGGCACCTAAGTATGTTGATAATATTATATTGTGAGGTCCCTGGCAATTCCCATCCCTACTCCATGGCCTTTCACAATGGATTTAGAATTCTTCCAATGAGCAGCGCGTGAAAACACACACACATAATAATATTATTATGTGAAATATTATTACACACATATATAATAAATAAGGTTCTAATGAAATGTCCATATCGACAATCGAAATGACTGAAAAATACAGTTAAAAACCTCAGAACGAAATTCTGGCTTAAAAATCAAACGCATTCAAAGGGATGTTGTCTCTTCTCATAATTCAACAGTAGCCTAACCTGCAAATTGCAAAGGAGAATGCATTCAGGCTTTCCTTTACTAGTAAATGAAGTCCAGTCGTCTGCTGAACCTCTCGGTGACAGCGCTGTAGAAGTCACAGCAGAACCCCATGTCCATTATTTTATTCTGCAGAACAGCAGGCACACGGCTGTGGGAGACGCATCTCCAAGGCCTCCTTCAGTTCCATTTTCACACGGACACACAATTATATCCCATTCTCATTACGTCCACAAAGCAAAAGAAAATGTCCAAGATGTTGTAAAAGTTTGGGTAAAAAATATTAAAGGTGCAATATGCAGAAATCGCTCCGCCATTTCCTGGTTGCTGAAATTCTAATAGTTTGCCTAATTTCAGTTTATGTGACAAAACAAGCATAGAGAATGTAGAGAATCATTGTACCATCTAAACCACTGTGAAATATATTTTCCATAACCAGTAATATTGTATTTTCAGCAATTTGAAGACGCAAAAAACCAACATAAGAACGGAAGCATAGAAATACCGCACATAGAACATATCTACCGCTTCTTAGAATTGCTTTCAATGAGAATGACAGATATATAACTCACATTTCTATATGAATTTGGTCGGGTCACCCAAAATGTTACATATTGCAGCTTTAATTGGTAATGACATTTCACGCAAGTGGACAGCTAGCAGTGAGGGAGATGGTAGTTGTCAGTCAGCTAGCAGTGAGGAAGATGGTGGTTGCCTGTCATGTCACGTCTTGTGTGTAGAGCTCCTGTATGCTGCTTCTGTTTGGTCTTAACTTTTATTATAGTTGACTTTCCACTCTTCAAACCTTCCAAATGGCGCTCGTTACATTATTCAAACGTGGACATTTTTTGAGGTGCAATAGTGTCCATTTTCAGGTTGTTTTTGCTAGCTAGCTTTGTTCAGTTCAATGGATGCGAGTGCCAGATTATGTAGACACGCCCAAATGTGCACAGCTTACCCCAGGCAATACCCACACAACATGTTTAGGCAATACGCATGCGAAAAATATGAAATTGTCTCAATGCAATGAATGAAGCTTCAAGCTAGGCAAAGCAGCGAGGCCTATGCTGACCCTGTCCATTAACAGTGACTGGACTCAGGAAGGCCGTGGCATCAACGATTTGAATGTATTTGAATTGATGGGAGAAAGCATGAGTGCCCTGGAACCTTTCCTGAGGTTTTGATGCAGTTTTAGCAAATGTAGAGATTTTGAGCAAAAAAACACCAGAATCATTGAGAAGAAACATTAGATAACAAAAAATTATTACATAACAGCTTTTCTGCAGTAAGTAGTCATTAACATTTAGCGGAACAAATTACCAATCATCAACAACCTCTACAGGTTATCTACAGCACATCAGTCAATGTCACCACTAGTCCCTCAACATTCAAAAACATTTTTTTTTGTCATTTAGCAGACACTCTTATCCAGAGCGACTTACAGGAGCAATTAGGGTTAAGTGCCTTGCTCAAGGGCACATCGACAGATTTTTCACCCAGTCGGCTCGGGGATTAGAACCAGCGACCTTTCGGTTACTGGCACAACGCTCTTAACCGCTAAGCTACCTTCCACCTGTTTAAGTCATATCATCCCCAGTCCAGATCTGTTTATAGGGTTCATAGACATGCTATACATGTGTTTAAATTATAATCTTGTTACAGTTTTTTTCAATTGCTAACATGCATTGGTCAAAACTGAAGTCACATTGTCAAAACTCTTCACACAGTCAGCGAAACAGAAGTGTATCTGGACCAAACTGTGAATCATTTTTCATTGCTTTCACACAAAATGCATTCAATGACCACATTCTCCGAAATCCATGAACTCTTTTCTCATTCATACTCCACCACCTGCAAAACTATATATTTGCAGCACATGTTTTCAAATGCTAACACACTGTTTCCTAAACTGTTAAAAACACATTCAAAACAGAATGATAACAAATGTCGTGCATTTCTGCAGTAACCAGATTGAAACATATTGAAAATCTCAGCAGAATATTGAATCACTCCAAACACAGCTGATTGCAATTTCAGTTGAAAGCCTACCCAAGTGTCCTGTTTTTAGTCTCGTTACCAAACAGACAAAAGAGGACGGCTTTGGAATGATTTAGTATGGAAACATGGATCAAGGAAGACAGGTTGGTGGGGAAAGAAGAGTGGCAGGGAGAGGGGGAACGCGTGGAGGACAAAGGAGAGGAAGACCAAGAGCAGTGGTCTCTGATGAGATAAGGGCCACAGTTATTGACCATGTTGTAAACCATGGTCTCTCTTTGAGAGAGGCAGGTTTAAGGGTGAAACCAAATCTGCAGCGTTCAACAGTTGCATCAATAGTACACATTTTCCGGCAAAACAACAGGTGAGATGTGCATCCTTCAATGATAATTGAACTACATATTACAGTACAATACAGTATGTTCACATTTTCACATGTACTGACATTTGGAAATATATTGATTGTTTTGTGTTTTTCAGTAGGATCCAAAGCTGTGAATACGGTCAGCACAACGACAATTGCCAGAGTCCTAGAGAAACATAAAATAAGGATGAAGCAGTTGTACACTGTGCCCTTTGAGAGGAACGTGTGAAAGAACTCCGGTATCAATATGAGAACTAGTGGCCAAATGCAGGAGAGAGGGAGACTAGAACCCTCCCAGTACTCTACAGTATGAGGGATTATACTATACATGTTGATGATGTTTTTTTTTTGAATGATTATTGCAGCCCTGGAATTTCAGGATTTTGTTTTTTGTTTCAACTTTTTATTTTTCACAAGTAAATTACTATATGCAAAGATATAGAAAAAAAAAGGCTATTGAGGCAATTTGCTGCATTTCTGAATCATTCTTGTTACATATACTTTAGTACAGTCAATAAAGGGAAAATGTGTTATTCTTATTCTATAATGAAATACTGATTTATGTGAAAAAAAACTTCAAAGAGAAAAGTTAATCATTTATGTAATGCGCCCTGTTGTTAGTGTTTTTTTAGGTCAGTGTGTTATGAGTGACAATGTATGCTTTCTGAGTGAGAATTGTTGCCAGTGTTATGGTCGAACAAACTTATTTTGAGACATGTATGAAGCGTTTTGGTGGTTTGAGTGAGTTTTGGAGGTGAGATTAACTGTTTGGCCAAGATGCATGTTGGTAATGCAGACTGTGAAGAGTTTTGAAAAAGTGGCTTCAGTATTGACCGATGCTTGTTAGCAATTGAAATAAACTGTAATCTACAGTATGTATTACAGATTGGAACAAAACACTATGTCAACACTGCATTCATCCTTAATGGTTTCCAATGTGCTTTAAATATAAATGGTGTGGAATCAAGTGTTCTTGCAAAATTCCCATGAAGTGCTCTGTTCCATAATGCCCAGAATGTTCTAGAACACTTTGATAGTGAATGTACCCAACATGCTGTATAGGTTTGTTTTGGCTCATCCTAATGGTTCTGTCACCAGGGAGGTGGAGACTGCCCAGAAATGAGCATTGGCGCCATCAAGATCGCCCTGGAGATCTCCCTGCCGGGGTCCTTCATTTACGTCTTCACAGATGCCCGATCCAAAGACTACAAGCTGACCCAGGAGGTCCTGCAGCTCATCCAGCAGAAACAGTCTCAGGTAAAGCTGTGAACATCTGGAAGAGATTGTTGGAGAAGATTGAATGTGGTTTAAAATGTAAATATTGCATTCCTTTATTTGTGCCGCTGTGTCTATAGTCTGATGTGTTTTGTATGTGTGCACGTGCGTGTGTGTGTGCATGTGTGTGTAGGTGGTGTTTGTGCTGACAGGGGATTGTGATGACCGGTCTCACATCGGGTACAAGGTCTACGAAGAGATCGCCTCCACCAGCTCTGGACAGGTGTTCCACCTGGACAAGAAACAAGTAAACGAGGTGAGAGTCAGCCCGATTGGAACTAGACCTGTCAGTCAGCCTGAATGGAACTAGTCCCGTTAAGTCAGCCCGAATGGAACTAGTCCTGTCAGTCAGCCCGAATGGAACTAGTCTTTTCAGTCAGCCCGAATGGAACTAGTCCTGTCAGTCAGCTTGAATGGAACTAGTCCTGTCAGTCAACCTGAATGGACCTAGTCCTGTCAATCAGCCCGACTCGAACTAGTCCTGTCAATCAGCCTGAATGGAACTAGACCTGTCAATCAGCCTAAATGGAACAAGTCAGCCAGTCAGCCCGAATTGAACTAGTCCTGTCAGTCAGCCTTAATGGAACTAGTCCTGTCAGTCAGCCCAACTGGAACTAGACCTGTCAGTCAGCCTGAAATGAAAGACAGACCCGTCAGTCAGCCCGAATGGTACTAGTCCTGTCAATCATCCTGAATGGAACTAGTCCTGTCAATCAGTCTGAATGGAACTAGTCCTGTCAATCAGCTTGAATGGAAAGACCTGTCAATCAGCCTGAATGGAACTAGACCTGTCAATCAGCCTGAATGGAATTAGTCATGTCAATCAGCCTGAATGGGAAGACCTATTCATCAGCCTGAATGGAACTAATCGATTCTACACTTACTGTCCACCCAATCAGCTGTTGGTTCAGTTGTTCATCTCTTTGCTCTCTGTTTAGTTGTGTGCCTCCCTCACTTTCTCTTTCTCTATGTCCTCAAATAACATTTGGGAATTTCAGACATACAATAGCATCTAAAAAAAACTTGGTGGCTCCTCTTCGGGAGGAAGTGTGATCTGCTATCATCACGTCATTATTCTCCACTACTGAGCAGACTGTGGTGCTGAGCTGGCTCTGTCTGACAGGAGTCGGGTCTCAGTAGAACACAAACACAGGACTGATCTATGACTTGGTTCCAGACCCAGAACATTCTCAGACCCAGAACATTCTCAGATCCAGAACATTCTCAGACCCGGAACATGCAGGCTTGAAATGAAGTGGAGTCGCGGATGGTGGAAGCATCACCGGCTTTGGAGTGCCTCAACTTGGCCCGAACATTAGCCTTAGATGAATGTAAATAAAGCATCGCTGGACGGTTTTACTGCTCTAGTGACGTATCGTATAGGTGGGACCACTCCAAGCCTGCCTGAACTGGGATTTATGTGGACTTCACTGTGAAATAGTTATTTAATTGATTGCACAGCTCTTAAACAGATTGATGCATGATGTCTGAGCGTTCCAAAGAATGCAAATCAAAGGAAATATTCAGTTTTTTAGTTAGATTTTCTTGAAGTCTAAATCTGGAAGGGCAATGTAAAAATTACTCTCTCTCAGCACTGACATGGGCATTGACTCACATGTCCCCCCCCCCCTCTCTCTTTTAAACATCATTGACCACTGTCTGAGGGGTAACCACCTGTCTACTGATGAACAAGCACACGCAGGGGGCTGACAAAGAACAATGGCTAGTTGACCTCTACCATTCCCACTGAATCCTCGACTCCCACCTGGCCCCATGGTCCCACAGGAAGAGAGGCTGGGGTCCCCTTCTGTCTACCCAGCCACGGCCCTCTGCAACTGGGCCGGCCTCATTTGACCTCCCCATGACAGACCTGTCACTGTGTCCCCTCTGGGCCAGGGGGACAACCTCCGGGACATCACCCCAGAGAGGGGATTGATGGAGGGGGCATTTGTAGAGCAACAAGGCAGGGTGAGGGTTAAAGAGGTCTGGAAGTAGTGGGTCGGTCACACTGAACAGAAGCTGGGTCAAACAGGAACTGGGTCAGGATGCAGGGTGGAGTCTCAATTTATTTTCGCCAAAGTTCCTGCACATGTTGTGGGACGACCTTGCAGCTGACGAGGGTCAGAAGGTGGTGGTTACGATGGTGGGGGGTGGTGGGGGGCGGTGGTGGATTCGGGGAGGAAAAGAGGGATCGCTGGAAGGTCAGAGATGTGTGACGCTGGAGATGGGGGCGTGTGCTAGTGGGTCTGGGCAGGTGTGATGTAGTTGATGTTTGAATTATGTTGTCGTTTGTTTGTGTATGTTTTGTATTGTTTATAAAAGAGAAAATTAAAAGGAATGTCAGAGAAGAAATAATAGTCTTTAATGGTCTTGTGCGTTTTGGTCAATTAACCCCTGATGCTGCCTATGAGCCTTTACTCTAGGACTGAGAAGGAGTGGGCGTGGGAAACCTGAAAGTAGGGAGTGAATACAGTAATGTGTGGAACAATAACTAGCTCCTGGCCGATTCCACGCCAAGATAGCCCGAAAATAGTACCAGAGAGCCCACTATGGAAATGTTATATGTTTGAAGAGTATATTGTTCCATACAATATGTCTAAAAATAAGCTAAATCAAAAGGGTACTTTTGAGATATTAATATTATTATTTTTTATGTTGAATAAATGAATGTGATTTTATTTTATCTAAACATACTCCATATGTTAGAGCACACTATTAGGAGTATAATGACACCAACATGTTGTCTGCATCATGTACGGTTCACAGATCATAGGGTCTTACAGGAGGCATGTATAGGTCTAAAAAGGGCCTAAAATAGCCTCTTTTATAATAATAATAATAATAATAATAATAATAATAATAATAATAATAATACATTTAATTTGTATAGCGCTTTTCATTACGGAGTTATCGCAAAGCTCTCATAGCTTTATCATGATTTTCTCAAAAATGGTTTGTGATACAAATGTAAAAAGCTTATCAAACATCCTTCCTCCCAATGGAGTTTCTATGTGAGAATTGCCAGAATAATCTGAGATAACAGAAATATTTTTGGGCCTTCCTGGCGTGGAATCACCCTTCTATGTTCTGTGTGTGTGCGTGTGTGCATATTGTCATCTCTGTGCATATTGTCCTCTCATCTCTCTCCCCCTTCCTGTAGGTGTTGAAATGGGTGGAAGAGGCAGTGCAGTCATCCAAGGTCCACCTGCTGTCCACTGACCACTACAACGGGGTCAGCAACACCTGGCCGATCCCCTTTGACCCCAGCCTGAAGGAGGTCACTGTGGCACTCAGCGGCCCCGCACCTGACATCGAGATACGCAACCCCCAGGGTAGGCTACTGCACAAAACACACCACCCCTTCCCTATGACCTTTCACCTTTTGTCAGATTTCACAGGACTGTCTGCTCACAAGTCAGGCACTGTAGTGTTCGCTGAAGGCTTTTCTAATGTACTGTAGCTTTGCTTTTTGGGGCCTTAATTCTCTTCAGTTCCGCTCAGCTATGAAGTGCTTTGAAAGGCTGGTCATGGCTCACATCAACACCATCATCCCAGACACCCTGGACCAACTCCAATTCGCATACCGCTCCAATAGATCCACAGATGATGCAATCTCAGTTGCACTTCGCACTGCCCGCTCCCATCTGAAAAGAGGAGAAATAACTATGTGAGGATGCTGTTCATAGACTACGGCTCTGCGTTCAACGTCATAGTCTCCTCCAGGATCATCACCAAGCTAGGGACCCTAGGACTGAACACCTCCCTCCGTGACTGGATCCTGGACATCCTCATGGGCCGATCCTCAAAAAGTTATACAACTGCACTATCGAGAGCATCTTGACTGGCTGCATCACCGCTTGGTATGGCAAATGCACCGCTCTCGGCCGCAAAGCACTACAGAGGGTGGCGCGGCCAGCCCAGTACATCACTGGGGCCGAACTCCCTGCCATCCAGGACCTCTATATCAGGCGGTGTCAGAGGAAGGCCCGAAAGATGTCCGAAGACTCCAGCCACCCAAGCCATAGACTGTTCACTCTGTTACCATCTAGCATCAGCTCTCAGACCAACAGGCTCTGAGACAGCTTCTACCCCAAAGCCATAAGACTGCTAAATAGCCATAAGACTGCTAAATAGCCATAAGACTGCTAAATAGCCATAAGACTGCTAAATAGTTAATTAAATGGTTAACCGTACTATCTGCACTGACCCTATCTTGCACTGACTCTATTCACACTCACAAGACTATACACTGAGTGTACAAAACATAAAGAACACCTGCTCTTTCCATGACACAGACTGACCAGGTGAATCCAGGTGAAAGCTATGATCCCTTATTGATGTCACTTGTTACATCCACTTCAGTCAGTGTAAATGAAGGGGAGGAGACAGGTTAAATAAATATTTTTTGCCTTGAGACAATTGAGACATGGCAAGACAAAATATTTAAGTGCCTTTGAACGGGGCACCGTAGTAGGTGCCAGGCGCACTGGTTTATGTCAAGAAGTTCAACGCTGCTGGGGTTTTCATACTCCACAGTTTCCCGTATCAAGAATGGTCCACCACATAAAAGACATCCAGCCAACTTGACACAACCGTGGAAAGCGTTGGAGTCAACATGGACCAGCATCCCTGTGGAACGCTTTCAACACCTTGTTGAGTCCATGCGCCGATGAGGCTGTTCTGTTGGCAAAAGGGGGTGCAACTCAATATTAGGAAGGTGTTCTTAATGTTTTGTACACTCAGTATATATACACACTATATACACACTCGTACACACTACACTAACACTCACACAAAACCCACACACATACATTCACATACAGTACATACACACACACACACACACACACACACACACATAACACACACAGACATACCGATACAACACATACACAAACACACACACACACACACACATACACACACTTTTACACTCATCATTTGCTGCTGCTAGTCTGTTCTTTATTTTACTCTTATTATCTATCCTGATGCCTAGTCACTTTACCCTGCCTTCATGTACACATCTACCTCAAATACCTCTTACCCCTGCACAATGATCTGGTACTGGTACTCCCTGTACCGTATATAGATACATTTTTGTGTATTTTATTCCTCTTGTGTTACTATTTGTATTTTATTATTATTTTTAACTCTGCATCGTTGGGAAGGGCTCATAAGCAAGCATTTCACGTAAAGGTGTATTCGGCGCATGTGACAAATACAATTTTATTTGATTTCAGCTCAATATTAGTTCAATGAGTTCAATTCTATTGTTATAGAGTTGCTGAAATTAGTTTGGTTTGTTTGGCTGCAAAGAAAATGGAAATGTATTTCCAAACAGGGAAGCTTGTCGGGAAGAGCGACGGTCTGACGGAACTCCTACACATTCCCAACTCTGCCAGGGTCGTCAACATCAAGGACCCGGAGCCTGGAATGTGGTCCATAAAGGTAAACAATAAATTCCTCATTTCTCACACGGAAATGTCTGTCCAAAACATTTTTGGATTTCCTCTCTCACGCTTAAAGAAAGCTGGAGTAGTCGTAAAAAATGACTTATATAGGTCAGCTGTATGGCTTAGCGATCAGAACACACCCCAGGAGGCTGCACGCTACTGCCGCTGGTCCCTTGAGCAAGGAACTTAACCTGAATTACTACAGTAATACATCAAGGTGTGCAGATGTAATCGATAAGCCATGCTTCGGTTGAAGCATCTGTCTGCTGACCTACAGTAAGACTGGAATGATAGAGAAGAAAACTCTTTCATCATCAGAGTTGGCTGTTCGTAGCGGTCTGACGGTCTGATTGTCTGATTGATGAAGGTGGATGAAAATGGAGACGTGTGCTTTTTTTGTGCCATGTCATGTCTTTCCTGCTTGTTAAGGGCCCCCAGTGTTCAGTTCCAGTGTTGGGTTTCAGTGTTGGGTTCTGGTGTTGGGTTCCGGTGTTGGGTTCCGGTATTGGGTTCCACTGTTGAGTTCTAGAGTTGGGTTCTAGTGTTGGGTTCCAGGGCCAATGAAACTATATTTCAGGGCCCTGGCCCCCTGATGTGAGGGGAGCGCTAACAGAGACGCAAAGCAGGGTGCCCACAATGTCAACGCCGGCAGACAGGAAATGACACACATTTTTACCTGAGTGATTTGTTGTGGTATGAGGAGGGGGTGTGAGGGGCGCTGTTTAGTCTCTGAAGCTCCCTGTGGGGCCACTTTCCATGTCCTACATGTCCTAGCCACTGCTGTGTTCTGTGTGTTTGATGATTTACGAAAAAGAGAGATGAAAAGAAAGATGACGTCATTCATCCCTGGGTGGACTAGCCTCCTGAGGGTGGGGTTTAGTTGGGTGGGGTGAGGTGGGGGTGTACGGTCTGAGCAGTGAGCCAGACAGATTGATGACTAATTTCTCTGTAGATCTGGCTGCTGTAGTTGAGGCTGAAGTCTCAAGAGGCGTTTGTTTCGTTCCTCAGAGTTTTGGTTCTTGTCAAGTGTTGTTATTGACTGAGGTTATCGCTGCAATGGCTCAGGCCGAACTACCCAGCGTCCTCGGGCTCTCTCATGTCATGTTTCTCTGTTTTATGGCCCCTCCCTCCCCTACTCCCATCAAGTCCCAATCCACTAGCCACCATGACCTCATCCCTCCCTGCTCAGAGCCACACTACTGTTGTTTTACTGTACTAGTGTTCACAGGGTAAGTCTTTAAACCTGATTTGTATGTGTGCGTTCCTTTGGAAGGAGAGGGTTTTCATGCCAGATGAGAATAACAGGCCTAGCTCTCTTGCTCCCCGCCTAAAATATATGGTCTCTTGACGGTTTCCGTTGACTGCTGACTGAATGTCAGGGCCAGAATGTTGCTCTGGGGGCCTTTGGTTTGTGCCATGGAAATAATCTAGTAGAAAGACTGGTAGTGGTTGACATAGAGGAACCAGTGGACTAGTCTGACTGTGGTTGACATAGAGGAACCAGTGGACTAGACTGACTGTATTGTGGTTGACTAGAGGTTGAACCAGTGGACTAGACTGACTGTATTGTGGTTGACTAGAGGTTGAACCAGTGGACTAGTCTGACTGTATTGTGGTTGACTAGAGGTTGAACCAGTGGACTAGACTGACTGTATTGTGGTTGACTAGAGGTTGAACCAGTGGACTAGTTTGACTATATTGTGGTTGACTCACTCACTAGAGGTTGATGTATCTCTAGAAGTATCTGTTCCCTGCTCTGACCAGCTGTGTCTACACTTCCAGAGGTTAATCTCATGCTAAGCTCTGAGCTGTCTGACTGAACTCTGACAGACAGAGCAGTGAAATCGCTGTGTTTTGCCTCTGCTACCTAGGGCTGTAACTGCAACTGTTGGTTGTACTCGATGTTACGGCTATGCTTTTGTTTTGCGATTTGTCTGTGCGACGACTGTGTTTCGCCATGTTTTGACGGTGAAAAAGGCTGTTTTACAACACGTTGTAACTGTTCTGACTGTGGTAAGTCTATTTTAAAATAAGTCTATTTTAAACTGAGCTTTAGGTTGGGTTTAATATGGCTGCTCTAAGGTGAAAAGTTCTGGTATGTTTTGTCTTCTTCCTCCACAGTCTAAACACAACCCCATAAGGCTTGATCCCTGACCGTGCTTTAACCGTTCAGACATTCCCAGAGTGACGTTTATAATCGTTCTAATATTTGTTTTAAAGACGGTATACGCCCACACCATTCTGTTGTTGGGGTACGCCCAGACCATTCTGTTGTTGGGGTACGCCCAGACCATTCTGTTGTTGGGGTACGCCCAGACCATTCTGTTGTTGGGGTACGCCCACACCATTCTGTTGTTGGGGTACGCCCAGACCATTCTGTTGTTGGGGTACGCCCAGACCATTCTGTTGTTGGGGTACGCCCAGACCATTCTGTTGTTGGGGTACGCCCAGACCATTCTGTTGGGGTACGCCCAGACCATTCTGTTGTTGGGGTACGCCCATTCTGTTGTTGGGGTACGCCCAGACCATTCTGTTGGGGTACGCCCAGACCATTCTGTTGTTGGGGTATGACCATTCTGTTGTTGGGGTACGCCCACACCATTCTGTTGTTGGGGTACGCCCAGACCATTCTGTTGTTGGGGTACGCCCAGACCATTCTGTTGTTGGGGTACGCCCACACCATTCTGTTGTTGGGGTACGCCCAGACCATTCTGTTGTTGGGGTACGCCCAGACCATTCTGTTGTTGGGGTACGCCCACACCATTCTGTTGTTGGGGTACGCCCACACCATTCTGTTGTTGGGGTACACCCAGACCATTCTGTTGTTGGGGTACGCCCAGACCATTCTGTTGTTGGGGTACGCCCAGACCATTCTGTTGTTGGGGTACGCCCAGACCATTCTGTTGTTGGGGTACGCCCACACCATTCTGTTGTTGGGGTACGCCCACACCATTCTGTTGTTGGGGTACGCCCAGACCATTCCAACACAGAAAAGCAGCTTTTTAACATACAGTTGAAGTCTGAAGTAAACATACACCTTAGCCAAATACATTTAAACTCAGTTTTTCACAATTCCTGACATTTAATCCTTGTAAAAATTCCCTGTGTTAGGTCAGTTAGGATCACCACTTTATTTTAAGAATGTGAAATGTCAGAATAATAGTAGAGAGAATTATTTATTTAAGCTTTTATTTCTTTCATCACATTCCCAGTGGGTCAGAAGTTTACATACACTCAATTAGTATTTGGTAGCATTGCCTTTAAATTGTTTAACTTGGGTCAAACGTTTTGGGTAGCCATCCACAAGCTTCCCACAATAAGTTGGTTAAATGTTGGCCCATTCCTCCTGACAGAGCTGGTTTAACTGAGTCAGGTTTGTAGGCCTCCTTGCTCGCACACGCTTTTTCAGTTATGCCCACACATCTTCTATAGGATTGAGGTCAGGGCTTTGTGATGGCCACTCCAATACCTTGACTTTGTTGTCCTTAAGCCATTTTGCCACAACTTTGGAAGTATGCTTGGGGTCGTGGTCCAATTGGAAGACCCATTTGCGACCAAGCTTTAACTTCCTGACTGATGTCTTGAGATGTTGCTTCAATATATCCACATAATTTTCCTTCCTCATGATGCCATTTATTTTGTGAAGTGCACCAGTCCCTCCTGCAGCAAAGCACCCCCACAGCATGATGCTGCCACCCCTGTGCTTCACGGTTGGGATGGTGTTCTTCGGCTTGCAAGCGACCCCCTTTTTCCTCCAAACATAATGGTGGTCAATATGGCCAAACAGTTCTATTTTTGTTTCATCAGACCAGAGGACATTTCTCCTAAAAGTATGATCTTTGTCCCCATGTGCAGTTGCAAACCGTAGTCTGGCTTTTTTATGGCGGTTTTAGAGCAGTGGCTTCTTCCTTGCTGAGCGGCCTTTCAGGTTATGCCGATATAGGATTCGTTTTACTGTGCACATAGATACTTTTGTACCTGTTTCCTCCAGTATCTTCACAAGGTCCCTTGCTGTTGTTCTGGGATTGATTTACACTTTTCGCACCAAAGTACGTTCATCTCTTGGAAACAGAACGTGTCTCCTTCCTGAGCGGTATGACGGCTTCGTGGTCCCATGGTGTTTATACTTGCGTACTATTGTTTGTACAGATGAACGTGGTACCTTCAGGCGTTTGGAAATTGCTCCCAAGGATGAACCAGACTTGTGGAGGTCTACAATTTTTTTTCTGAGGTCTTGGCTGATTTCTTTAGATTTTCCCATGATGTCAAGCAAAGAGGCACTGAGTTTGAAGGTAGGCCTTGAAATACATCCACAGGTACACTTCCAATTGACTCAAATGATGTCAATTAGCTTATCAGAAGCTTTCAAAGCCATGACATCATTTTCTGGAATTTTCCAAGCTGTTTAAAGGCACAGTCAACTTAGTGTATGTAAACTTCTGACCCACTGGAATTGTGATACAGTGAAATAATCTGTCTGCAAACAATTGTTGGAAAAATGACTTGTGTCATGCACAAAGTAGATGTCCTAACCAACTTGCCAAAACTATAGTGGTTGAAGAACGAGTTTTAAGGACTCCAACCTAAGTGTATGGAAAACTATTTGATTCATATTGTAATTCATTATTGTAATCATATTTCATAGAAATCTGGAAACACTGGACACTAACTTTAGTAGCTAGTTCCAGCCCTGGTCGATAGAATGAAAGAATGTGGACCTTTTCCCCACTGCCCACATACAAAAAAAACTGAGAAAAATAGTCCCCTAATCTATATCTGTGTTTCTGTGTTTCCCAGGCCATCCAAGGGGTTTAGATGAATAGTTTTGTGGGGATTTCTATGCTTGTGCCATGCTGTGTGGTTCAGTCATGGTAATGGACCATGACACCTTAGTGGAAGGCCGTGGGCATAGATTGTGTGTGAAAGAGTTTGATCCTTTTTAATCTGTCTTTAATTGGGTGCTGGTGTGTGTGGTGAACAGAGGGTGGGTTCATA